ATACCATTTCTCATCCCAAATCCCAGCTACTTAATTTCGAATCGTGGTTTCCGCCACTCCATACAACCGCGTTGGTTTAACCTCTCGAGCAGGGTTCATTTAGTGGTTTAAATTGCGTTTTAGAAAAAAGAAGCTTAAGCTTCTTTGTTTGATCATGTAATCCCACAAAGATAAATCCAGAATTGAACCCCTGAAACGGATACATTTATTGGACGTCTGTTTCTATATAGCGGCCGCATGTAATGAGGTGAAGAACACGAAAATCTCCAGGAGTTTTTTAAATCGTGCTTTGCCTGACGTGCAGAAATAGATTCTGAAGTAACAATGCCCACTGGACCTGAGTTTTACAAGCCCATTGTAGATCCTTCAACCTCTATTGCCTGGGATACTCTTTCAAGGGAATTGTTTGGATGTTAACTGACTGATAGCTATGTGGTTAATTCTTATCTCCAAACCTGTAACACAACAGAAATAAACTGGGACCTGCCTGCCACTTTGAATGTTAGTAGCTGAGGATGTCAACAGTGGATCTGATTGTATACTGCAGACGTTATGAAAAAGTCTACATCCCCAGATGCACTTGGTTCTACTGTATTTTGTTATGCTTCGAAATATATAGCGGACAAACTGGCACGCTTGAACTAATTACGTCTACTAATACTTTCACTGAATCCGTCACCGAAGAAGTGGGTTTTGTTATTGCTTTCTCCCATCCAGTATTATTGGATGCTGACTTCATAATCAACCGACGTGACGACGGAAATTGCGTTTCACTCTCCAAGACAAATTGCGGGTACCCCACAGCAGGAAATCACCTTCCGACCGCTATGTCAATCGCTGCTCGCGATGCTCAATGGCCTAATAATCATGGCATTAGCCGCTTAGCGTTGTGCATCTAATTCTTCTGCCAGCTCGGCTTTTTCCACTTGCTGAGTCTATTGGAAGACGAAACTAGTGGTGGTGGAGTACAGGGAATGGAGAGTGCTACATAGAATCCATGATCTTCGTTGGTGAATCCAGTGGACATATTGCTAGAACCTGACTTTAAAATCAATCGTGGCCACGACTGGGATTTCGTGTCGCAATCCAAGTCATACCGCGTGCTCTCTAAAATACAAAACATTGACATGTCACATGTGATCCGTTCTTTATCTGATGGAAGATTTTATCCAAATCAAAATTTGTTCAGCGACTAGTTTGTGAAAGCTTATATCGTTGCGCTACCGAATTTCCACGGATTTTGCAACTTTCGCTCAAAGCCGTTGAATGTGTGTATTGCAATGGTAACAGTTTTCCAAACCCGATTCTTTACTTATGGCAGGAGGTGCAGCAAGATTTGACGTGTGGAATCAGTGCATCATTACCCGGATATCTCTGAGACAGTCGCTCGAAAGCCGAAAACTATAAACTGGGGATCCGCATATCTGCTCTCTCAAAGGACCTGGATTAGATCATAACTGAGACATGAACGTGTCATTTGCAAAGCTTCAGGGATAAACACCTCCTATTCCTAAGGAATAATTTCTGTCAGCCTACTGATGGCGCATGGCGACTGAACCGAAAGAGTAGGTAGTGGGACGAAAACTGCTGTAGTCTATTTACATTTTGTTAATGACTTCGAACGCTTAGATCCAAGCATCCTATCCCAAAAGCTGCCGTGCAAAGGAATTTTGAAACTTTTCCCTGCACGAATCGGATATTTCTTACTTACTTAGGATCGCGTTCAGAGATAAATGCTCTATCTTATTTATAGGTATTGTTATGTTCTATAATGTTCCTTCTTGAGACCACACATATGCTTTGTCTTCAAAGAGCGTATACGTGGTATCGGGTCGTTGTTTAGTTACCGTTATCAATAAATGTCGAGTAACCAGTAATTAGGAAGATCACAACCTGTTGCAACAAGACAGACTGTGCTTTTGAAATGCCCATGCAAATATATTTGTGATGAACGCCGTTTGATGTAACGTAGTATCTTAAAACCAAAAGCCCAGTGCAAATAAAAGTTTGAAGACCACTTATTGACAATGATTCACAGGATCGTGACCACTGGCAGTGACGAGTGACAAACACTGCTGGTAGTTGCAGTACCTGAAGTTGACCAGGACTGGGGACAATTATGTTAGTTGCTTGCGGATATTTTTCGGGCGGTTCAAACGTTCAAAATTTCCGTAATTGTTTAATCGATAGCATATACTCATGCAAAGTACACGACCCGAGTCTGGTCACCCTGTCACAGACACGATTTTGCTTCATTGGGGAGCCGCAGCTAAGGTCAAATAAAACTTGGAGCGTTGTTTAATCTCCCACACCAACTATTAGGTTGGTAATAAAGTTATTGCATCTTGTGGTAGTTTTATGTTAACAGCTGTGCTTTTGAATAACTTATAATAGATATCTTTACACCGGATTACCATTCCGAAGTCTGCTTTACGCTCTATCTATCAATAGGGATACTTTGGCTCAAAACACGTTTTAACTCCTCACGGAACATTGGATGCAACATGGACTGAAGACGAGTTTGCACAATTTTCGTGTACCAGTTCAAACTTGGTCAACAGGCAGCGGAAACAGACCGTGACATCAATAGTGCATTTGTTGCTGGAATAACTGCACAACGGTGGTTACAAAAGTTTCGAAAAGTTTGTGGGGCTTGAAGATGAGGAGGGTTGTGGAAGTGATAAACGATCAAATAAAAGCCTTAGTTAAAGTGGATCAGTGTAAACCAATCAGAGATCTTACTGCTGACTTAGCAGCACCCCATGTGACCGTTTTAGTGATTTATCAGAGATTGTAATGTCGAAAAAGCATGATAAATTTGTGTTGCGTGGGTTGTAGAGAACTTACAGAAATCATCGTTTTGTGTTGTCGTCTGCCCTTATTCGGTAAAATATGGTTTGGACTTTTCATGAAAAGTGGATGCTTTACGATAACCGACGAGCGACTGCTCAGTGATTGAACCACGATCAAGCTCCACAAAATTTCCCAAACCCGAAATTACACCCAAGAAAGCTTACGCTGACTTTTTGTAAGTTTGCGGCTTGTCTGGTCCATCACAGTATTTTGTATCCGGAGAAACCATTAGAACGGAGAGGTATTGTCAACAGATTTACGAAATGCATCGAGAAATTCTGCACAGGTGCCCGAAACTAGTCAATAGAAATGGTCCTATTCGTCTTCGTGATAACGCTCGGTCGCACGTCACACAAACAACCCGACAGAAGCTGCAGGCGCTGGGCTATGACATTTTGCCTCGCCCATCATACTCCCTCGACTGCTCACTTGACGATAAGCAATTTTGCAAGCATCTGGACAACTTCTTCCCGGCGAAAAGTTTTAAAACCGAATGATTTGCTGAATTCACCCTCAATGATTTCATCCCTACCAGAACTCAGGAATTTCATCTATCCGGGATAGATGAACTTGGTTCTGTTGACAAAAGTATGCCAATTTCAATGGTTTTTGTTTCCAATAATGTTAAGTTGAGTCGTTATGTGCATGTAAAACTTGATGTTAAAATCGCAATAACTTTATTACCAACCTAATACAACGGAAAGCGCTAGTTTTGTGCGGCGAACTAAAGCGCCCACTGTTGCTGGATCTAAGTTTGAAGTAAACGATTCTACAGGAAACTTGTCACCTTTGCCGAAACCCGCTTATCTGTGCCGAATACATAACAATATAACGCCCAGTCAATTCTGGAAGCGCAATATATTCGCTGCAGTATTGCCGAGAACTTTCACATATCGTTTTTAACAAAGAAAAAAGGGAGGATTTCTCTAAAATATGAGGTACGTTCCAAATGATTGCTCTGATCAACATGCGTTGGTTTGAAACGCTTTTCGCTTCAAGGCATTTATTATTTCATTTTATTTATTTTTTTGTTTATATACACAAAGACTAGACGATGAATTTCACTATATGCATTAATGGTTATTTATTAACATTAATAATATTTACAAGTTGTGATTGAAGGTTGACATAAGCAAAGGTTTGCAATAATTCTTCTTCAAAGTTGCACAATTAAATGTGGAGGAAAGCAAATTTTAGGATACAACGTAAGGGTGAGTAAGATACGTTGGGTGTTAAATATGATTGTTAAAGCGCGAAGAGGAATTATGGAAAACGTGCTTGCTTGCATCGACTTCTTCGCTTCGAGTGACGAAAGACACAGACAAGCATTGAGCTCAATACTCACCACGAAATCGGCGTGTTTGAATTCATGTATGTTAAGGTGTATATAATTATGAATGGAAGAGTGAGTGTTTTAAATGTTGTTACAATTTTAACGTGCGTATTTCTCTCAATGCCTCCCGTATGGCTTGTAAACAATTGGAAGTATTGCCTGTATGCTAACCTTTTCCCAATTTTGGGAACTCATTCCGCTTAGCGATGACTGTAGACGTCGATTACAACATTGGCTACGGCCCTATTGAAGTACTAGTTGCTGAGTTATGCGTCCAAACAATATGCTCTATTTCATGTGTGGTGTTTTGGCTCCATAAATTCAGTCACACAATTATGCGTAATTCATAAGTTACTTAGTAGTATTACAATGTTCACATTTAATTTATAAAATTTATAATAATGCGGGAGAGTTAGAGCTGAAACACCATATAAATTTTTCTTAGATGAGAAGCAATAAGGCTTTGAATTGGAGATTATTTGTTTATTTTTTCAGGTTATTTAGACGTAATATAATTACATGTAAGTGATGTCTATTTATAGACTGATACAAACATAAATATGTATGTATAAATATACTAGCAAGGTTGACCTTGTTGCCTCCATGTAGGTTTATGTTAGATGAATGGAGTAGCCCACTGTCCATGGAAATTTTCACCATATAAAGTGCTAATTAGATGAACGTGACATGTACAAATGCTAATTAAAACCCAAAGACGGTGCACAAGATTCTAATTTACGGATTTCAAAATAAGTCACAATAATAACTGATCTGGATTGCACCTTGATGCTGTGTTGAGTGCATCGTCTGATGGCTAAAGCATATAGCTAAAAATGACAACGCATAAAAGGTTTCCGTAGTCTAACAACTCACTTAGTAGTTCCAGATAGTTAGGATCATCTAAAAATATATTGCATTTGTTGTAGTGTTTGAAAAACGCATAGTCAGTTGATATAAGCAATAGTTCACCTTAATAATCTGGTCACCTCCGTTACACTTGTAGATGTCTTTGAATGAACAATGTACACTGCATTTATACGGGTTAAAAAGCGTTGTTTACAAGTCCCGTTGGATAGTTGGTGGAGATATCAACACAACAAGAATGCCACTCATGATAGTAAAAGAGTTAGTACTTTCAATATGAAACAAAGGACATATCGTTTGGTTCGCCTAGTCTTGCAATCCGCTTAGATTCCCAGCACCCACAGTTAACATCAAATAATTCCACGGTTAACTCCAGGTGTAGGATGGAGACGTAGTGCAAACTGACAAAACGTAAGTGGATGAGTGCACCATCTAATCGTCTTTGAAATACTGTTATTGTCGGTGCAGAAACGACCGATTCTAGCAGAGCATTTCACGGGTGGCAGACACGAATGGAGAAGAAACTTCTGCGGCACTCCAGGCGCAGTTTCAGTAAGTGGTGTATTAGTGCTGTCGCAGTAAAAGGCGGCACACATGACGTGGTTCTCATAGATCCAAGTATGCCATAATCAGGTCGCCTCGTAGTCTGCGATAGCTTCCACTGAATACACCAGTCATTGGAGTCTCTCCTCATGTGAAAGATTCCGCATTCCAATTACGTTCTTAGATGCCAGACTATGTGGCTGCTTCAGTGCCTTAATGTCATGTTTCAACCATGGATCCCAGGCATGAATTGCGTACTCAACACGGGGCCAACATACGCACTGAACATGTGTCCAAATATGGAGCTGTTTATTCGTCCAAACGCCCGTCGGAACAGCCTGACGTGTTGGTTCACAGCCTTCAAGACCTTTTCGGATTGAATAGAGCAACCCAGGTCAAGTTGAACCAGGACACACAAGTCACCTTCGAAAGTTGATCGTTGTAGTGTATTCCTTCCGAGCCGCTATGAGTAGTTGTTCTGATGTCGGGGTGAAAGCACCTGGTATTTACTGAAGTTAAAATGCAGTAAGTTTTAGGTTAAGAATTGGTACACCACCCTGAAGTAAATACTAGTCGGCATTCGCCAGGATTCCGAGCCAAATCTTGATTTCAACGACAAACATTAAGAAGTTTGAAGCGGTTCCTTTGCAAGGTCATTAATGAACAACAAAACAAACGTGGACCTAGAATTGAGCCTTGCGGCACACCACACTCGATTTGTATGGGTCCGATAAAGAGCTCTGAACTCTGACCACTAATTGCCGTTGAAGTAGAAAGTTGGCAATCCAGCTTAACAGAGGGTCGCCAAACGCGTGATGCTGGAGCTTGAAAAGTAGTATCCAATCGTCTAGACCATAAATTATTTCGAAAATTCCAGGTAGATCACATCAAAACCTTCTGCAATGTCAGCTGACTCGGTCGGACTACTGCGTGCGATTAGTAAATCCGTGTACATGACCGCTGTCGACGGAAACCGTACTGCTCAGACGTGATTCTGTTAGCTTTCCAGATAGCATATCAGAAAATCGACAAATACGGATTCTAGAAAAAAAGACCATCTGGTGAGCAATTGCACTCAATGAATCATCATCAGACCATTACAATAATACCGAGGTTAGAAACCGCTCACTACCTACAACCTTCGTGACAGCTCCCATTTCGTCAAAAGCATCAAGGATGATAACATCAATGAAAAATTAATGTTATCTTTCGATGTTGTCTCACTTTTTACAAACGCCCCACTGGTTGAGACGATCGATTACATTGGCGACTATATAGCCGAGTCAGGAATAAAAGTGTGTATACCTACGAGTGAGCTCAAATGCCTACTGTTACGCTACACCTAGAATGTGTAGTTTCTACTCAACGGGAAATACTACCGGCAGAAGGACGGGGTGACCACGGGATCCCCCCCTCGGACCGCTATTAGCAAATATCTTCATTGCAAAGCTAGAGGGAACCGAAAGGCGGGCGGCAATAGATCATTTTGATCGCTATCATCGATACATGGACGATATATTTGTTGTGTTAGATAAACATGTTAATCTGGGTAAAATTCTTAACCACTTCAAGCGAGTGCATGCAGCACTGCAGTTTACTTACGAAAAGGAAAGCGATAATCGGCTACCATATCTCGATGTCTTGTTAACTAGGCGACCAGGCGGATCAATCCAGCGCCAGGACTACAGAAAAACAACGTGGATAGCTCAGCACACGAACTTTACAGTTTCGTTCCCATGCGATACGAGTGCAACTTGGTTTGCAGTCTTACGTTAAGAGCACGTCGAATCTGTACGGAAGACACCCTAGACCCGGTTAATGTTCATACAGAATACTCTACGAGGAAACGGTTATTCCGATAGATTTATCTTAAGTAACTTCCAAGAAAAACCCAGACCAGTGCCAGTGTTAACAGCACCAAAGAAAGAGTTTTTTATTCGCTTACCATTCAAAGGGGACACGACTACCGAGCGTCTAACCAGAAGCCTTTCGGCAGCGGTAAATTCTACATTTCCAGCAGCCTCGTTGAAGTGCCTGTTTTCAATGGAACCACTTATTCGCTCACAAAACAAGGACAAGATGCCGATGCTGACCACATCAATCGTAATTTATCAATTCGTGTGGCGCGACCTATATTGGTCGAACGGCAGTTATCCAAACGCTTGAACGAACATTGCCCTCGTTGGCTACGTCAGGAGGGCGCCGGGACGATTAGTAGCGGCATCCTGGCCCACATTGTAGACACCGGCCATGAGGTGGATTGGAAACGCCATTTCCGAATAGTCTACAAGGTTCCGCCGCACCGAACGGAAGGTTACGGCCCTCGTACGTTTGCGACAGCTGAAGCAATAGGCATTCGATTTTTCCAGCTATCCTTATGCTCACAGAAGAAGCTGCTCCAGGCTATCTAGCTTCTCTGGCCAGCGAAGAGGGAAACGCCCGGGTCGACTGCCTTCGGTCAAGCGCGGTAGCAAACAACTAGCCCTCTAAGACCTAATTCCTTTTCTTAACTCTGACATGGACCTTCACGTGATCAAGTCGTTTTGAACTAACTGGGTCGATTTCTCTTTCTAGCCTCCATATGATTGTAATGGTCTGATGATGAATCATTGAAAGCAATTGCTCACCAGATGGTCTTTTGTTATAGAGACTTAAATGGGAATATTCAAGTTACTTAAATATGTATTCCATGAAGTTGGAGAGTAAGGGAAGAAGGAATAGTGGACAACAGTTGGACTGATCAGTACTGCTTCCACTTTGTGAATTGCGGTTATTATTCCAAGTTTCCACATAGAGTGAACGTGATTCTGATCGAAGCAGCGCTGAAAAAACTGACCTAACGGTCCTGCCAGTTGACTTGGTGCTGCTTCCACTGCCTCTGGACGAATGGTGTCGTCACCATGCGAGCTGTGTTCGCTTAGAGACTTCAGCCTTTGCAATACAGACTTCGTGGCAAAGATGACAACTTTTAGTCCTGGCGTGAAGACAAGGAAGTTTGGAAGATCGCTTGGTGGCATTTGAATTAGAATTGGGGCATTTTGAATCCGCAGCGAGTTTGCTGCCTCCACCCCCATTCTTGTTGGGCTATCGGCCGTCCTGAGTGGAGAAAATCTTTGCCTCTGCTTAGGCTACTGACGTGCTTGTAAAGCAGTTTGTGGTTAGCACTGAAGGTGTTTGAAAGATTCTGCTGCTGCTTTGTCTTCTCTTAGCAGTTGAGTGCAGTGGTTACGTTGGGCTACATATTTGTCCCAAGTTTCTAATGCTTTAGCTTCTTTGTACATTCGCCATGCTGCGTTGCGTACTGTCATTCATTTTCGAGTTCTGCTCCTAACGAAAGAAACTGATGTACACTTATTGCAAACGCTTATATCTGCAACCTCTGCAATCAGCTGACTGAATTTGTTGACGAACTCGAACCAGGCAACTTCCGGGGGTGCTTCGGCGATGAACGAAAAAGTGGTAGCTTTGCAGAACTAAGCTAATCGATTGTAGCTTGTGATGGTTCACACAGTTTCATCCTTCTCATTCCGATATTGCGCACAGCAGACAAAATTGAAAATGATGACTGCGTTATCACCGCGACTCAACAGAAGGTCTAAAAGCAACACACCAATCATATGCCCCTCTTTGGTAAATACAAGACCTAGTGCAGATGGCCTGTTACCCGTTCTGAACGGAGTGGGCAAAGTGATGTGATTGCAAAGAGGAACAGTGGTTGCGAGGTCTTGTAGATCGGCTCTGAATTGTTCTCCGATCGTTGAAATCACCCATGATAAGTATGTGAGTGCACTTTCGACGTAAATTGTATCTTAAAGCCGCCGCTAGGTGGCAGTCGGTTTCGGGTGTAGAGTTAGTGGGGCGGTACACCAAGACATTGAGGCGAGCGTCTCTGGCTTTTAACTGCAAGCGGAACCAAACAGAGTCTGGGAACTGTGAGTCTGAATCTGCCACGGCTTCGCACTGCAGGTCGCTTTGGTAATACAGAATTAGCCCTCCTCCTTTTGATTGCCTATCTTTCCGGATCAGCGACATGCTCGGTAGCGAAACTTCAGCGTCCGTCATACCCGTGTGTAACCACGTCTCGGTGATACCAATGACATCATATGAACAAGAAGCTTGTCGAGGTAGCTTGAGACGTAGCTAATGCCATCAAGTTCAAACGGTGCACAGTTATGCATACAGATTGTAGTGAATAATTCATTTCATTTGTACCTTATAAAAGTTAGCATGATTTAGCGGAAACGGTGCAAGTTGTTTGAATAATCGCAGGAAATTAACGTTTTATCCACAATATGGAAATTTTAAGTTATATTCAGTAGCAAATACAAGGATCTCCCTAGTGTCTAAGCTTGGTCAATTATAACATTGCCATATGTCATCATGTTTTCACAACTAGAAGAAGTTGTTTCTACGGACCGTAAGTTAAAGCTAATAGATTTATACGCGCTTACCTGGGTACTTTAAATTAGCAACAGATTTTAAACTACTATGTTGCAGACGCATAGTGTAGTGAGTTGTTTTTCTCCAGATTAATACAATACACGCTTAACATAAAACACAGCTAATGTTCATTCTACTTAATGTAAGCAGCTTCTTCCCTCAGTAACTCATGGGTGTGACTTATCTGCTTTATAATAACTAGATTTTACATAATGCCGACGTCTGTATTTTTAATTTAGACGCTGGCGATACCCTGTATTCATGATATGATTAATAAGGACAGGATTAGTACAATTGATAATGTACTGTACTGCGCCGTCATACGTATTTAGCTACCTAAAATTATGTTAGTGTACTTTTCCTATTCTCGTATTTTTACCCAGTGTCTAACGTACATGCATTTATAACTTCTCAGCTTACCTGTTTCAGTAGTTGTTCTTTTATATTCTTCATGATCTGAAATTAATGCACGTGTTCTAGTAAGTGAATACACACATGTGCATAGTAACCGAATATTTTTGGTCATTGCACATATTTCACTCAAGATTTTGCAATTTGCGTTTGCTGAATTTGCACACCGATTGAGATTATCCGCAGTACATAACTACTTAATGCTCTGATTGTCGCATAATTACCGCTTCAACCGTTACGTTACCATTGATCGAATAAAATGCTTGATATTATATTTGTAATAGCAAGTAGCTTGTTTCGGAGTAATTTCTGATAGAAATATATGTCATAGGTTTCATTTATGTCTAGTACAGGTGAGGCAATATATTTCCGATTTTGCCATGGAGTAGAAGATAAGTGTTACCCCATCAGGTCGGACAACGTACTCACAAGCAACCACTGGTTACTCGTAAGCATTGAGCGAACAGGCATCTGCTGGTGTTTACTCACCATTTGTTAGAATATTATTTAGAAATAAATAAAATAAATAAATTGTTAGCTGTATTTTGGAACGCCACTTCGCTGCCGCGCAACCATCACCGGTGGCCTGTGCGCCGAGTACAAAGCGGAGACGGCCAGATTTACGAGGATTTGAACCGATGAATTTATGATTTAAGCCAGAAGTTTAGAACACACGGCGGCCGGCCGAGATATATATATATGTGTATGGGCATATATGTATGGGCATTAACTGCTTAAAATGTTACTAAATTATATTGCACTAAAAGTGTTTGGTCTATAGCATATAATGGGCAGTAGAGTCATGCAAGTTTTATCTAAGTGACCTTGACACTGAAAATTGCACTGACTGATTTTCGAAATCTTATTTTGTAACTATCCTATCCCTATCTGCGGATAGCGACGTGCTTTTGGGTGTTGCGTTCCCTTTTGGTAGTTTTCTCGAAGAAAAGCGTACAGATTGCATTTGCCAGTAGATTCACTAACTGAATACTTTGACTGTCAATTTTAAGACGTGGTGGTGTCCAAACGCTTGGATTGTGGTAAAGGAGCTACTTCAAGATCAAAGACTGTGCTGTGCTCTTTCTCTCTGATGGGTGGCGACACATTGCCTGTTGCGACATCAGTTCAGATCTTTATGAATGTCTCCAGAGGATCACCTCCTCGGCCATCATTTTCCTTTGGGTTTCTTGTTGACCTGAATTGAACGATAGGCGTGTTTTGGACGGTATACCCGCAATTACCCCACGATCCGTAACTAGTCAGAGAGATTGCCACCGCTACCAGACTGCTGGTATCTTTACCATCAATTTCTGCCACTGACTCGGCCACTATCTCTGGTAAAGGAAGTCGCGTCCCTTTGGCGTCACTATTGCAGCAATTAACACTTGAGGATGGTAACTGTGATACTAAGGACAGACATGTGTGGCAGTGGTGAGTGAGAGTGAAGAACAAGTATCTGCCAACAGAAATGGCAATCTGCATGAGAATGGAACCAAGAGTGATACGAAGCCAAAATCAAAAAAAACTGATCCTTGACAGTATAAGCCTGTTGAGAAGCGCCCTTGAGAATAATATGCCTGTCAAATCCCAACCACCTGATTGCAGCAAAACCATCTCCTCATGACCGTTGTTTGATCATTATTCTCGCTCCTGAACCTTACAAGATTTCTTTAACTGATAGGATCCTAGACGACCAGGAGTTTCTGAGGCAAATGCTCTCCATTATTTTGATGAAGGTAAGCAAAGGACCAATATGGTCTGCCTTTTGTTTTGATAGAAATCAAGAAGATTCTTCCTAAGTTTGTTCCCCCAAATTTTTCTTCAAAGTGAGAATGTATGTCTGCCCATTCTCAGACGGACCCGACGTCTTAAGAAAGAAAGGTTATACGTATTACCATACCTCTGCTCAGACGATCGAGTGCGAATGAAGAAAGCTGTGGAAGAGTTACGAACACGTCTGGTAAATGGTGAGATTAATCTCCAGATTGTGGATTTTCGTTTGGTTCAGATAGCTCGGCGAGTTCGCCGAAGGACAATATTTTTCCCATCCTGGCGGTACGAATGTTTTGAGGGCGATATCTGCCAGTGTACGTAGTCTATGAAACAAAATTCCTGGAATTCAGTTCCTTATCTCTGTGAAGCAAGCCGAACTTATGGCTTTCACGGAGTCTTGATAAATATTCCAGGGAATAATCTATTTCTGGCGGATCACTCTGGAACCGGGTCTGAAAAGAAGACCTCAGGGGTCATTTTGTTGAAGCCATACACGAAAATGAAGGTTAATCGGAACACCTTTGGCGTCGGATACATGACAGATGCAAGTCTGTTATGGTTGCAGTTGTTTACAGTGCCCCTTTGTTTACCCGAGTAAGCCTGTTGTATTCTGTTAGTAATCTTGGAGGAGGCAAGGGTTGTCTGATGTTGGGGGTCTTGAATGCTGAAGCGATAGACCGAGAATTACTCCACTGTGATCTCTCCTAGAACTCCTTTGATGCAAAGTTCTTCGAAAATGTTTGCTTGTAATTTGCTGCAACGTGTTACAATACCCACCAGAATATGTCCTGGTCAGTCAGCACAGAGCCTCGACCTGGTGCTCACACCGGCAGAGTCAGATGTTTCCGACATGACTGTTCTCCCAGCAAGCGGAAAAACTGACCACTGCGTGATATTCTTTGGATTCAACGTCTCAACATTCACAGTCAGGAATATGCTGTCGGAACAATTAGCACCTTGATCCACTTCGTTTGCAAACTGCCGTCGGCGCTGTGGACTTGAGTATCCCGTGACACTTAGATGTTGATGATATCTGGACCCACTTGTACTACAAAGTCACGTCACTCAAGACTCAGGTAGTTCCACTCTCTAAGGGAAAACCTTTCTGAAAATGCTTTCCATGGATTGATAGTTAGTTAAAATTCCTAATGAGCTGATGAAGCAAACTGTGGGACAAGTTCGAAGTTACACTGTAAACATTACGATACCTTGCCTAAACAACGGAAAGGAATATCTGCACATTAAAAAGGCATGAGAAGCGACAATAGCACCAGCGTTGCTCACCTGAGGAATCTACAACGGTACGCAAGCTATTTGCACGTATATGAGAACGCCTACGAAAGCTGGTAATATTACGCCTACAATTTATTCCAACGAAGATGATACTATTCTTCACGATGTTGTTGTAAAATCCGGGCTCCTGGGAATGCAGTTTTCCACAATCTTTTCGACCGAACCGCCGATAAGCAGTTACCTTGTGCCTGCGCCGCCTTTGCTTCAGAGCACCCAGAAATCAGCCTAGATTCGGTTGCCAAGCATCTCCTTAAACTAAACCTGAATGCCTCGCCAGGTCTTGATTAGCTACATCCGTTGTTCAGCAAAACACTAGCTAAACATATTGGTGTACTTGTTTGCAAAAGATTTTAGTGATTTATCTACTTAGAACGTCTCCCGCTTGCTTGGAAAGTAGGCATCGTTAAGTCCATATACATGGGTAGAAATCTTCAGAATCTAGGAAACTATCGACCGACCCGTTTGACATCCATGGTTTGTAAAGTTATGGAGGGAATTCTTAAGAGGGCCTTGCATGGCCACCTTGATGATGTGAATGCTGTATCTCCTGCTCTGCAAGGCTTCCGGAGGGCACGCTCATGTGTTTGTGACCAGAGAAAAATGGGATAGATTGCTGGTTAACAGCAGTCGCTTAAACGTCTTCTTTATCGACTTCAGGAGATCATTCTATAACGTCCCATATAAACGACTTCTCTTTAAACTTTGGGAAATTGACGTTTCTGAGAAGATCCTCTCTTGCATCCCGATTTATAAAAATGGCTGTAGTATGCGAGTAAATGCGAATGATGCCGATTCCGAGACCATTCTCACGGTCAGTGGAGTTCCGCAATGATCCATCCTCGGTTCTGAGTTGTTCAAACTATTTATCAACGACCATCCATCAGAGCTCCGTGTGGATTGTTTGCTGTATGCTGACGTATTAAAGCTATGACTAGAACTGTTCAAGCTCGCGTTTACTGACCGATTGCAAGCAACCCTTTACCATTTGCACAGCTAGCCACTGAAGTGGCAAGTGCCCATCAATTACGAAAAGTATTCAGTGCTCTTTATCGGTGCTCCGTGTTCGTTCGATGCATGTTACAATAATGCTTTTTTGCTCCGACAAGTTATTTAAGAGAAGGACGTTGCTGTGCTTGTGTCTCTTGATTTGCGCTTAACCGACGGCATCTTGAGGAGGGTAGCAGCTGCTAACTGGATGTTCGGTGCTATAAAGAGACCTACTTCTTTAATGACTCCGAAAGTCTTCAGACTCTCAGTCAATGTGCACCACATCCATCAATACGGCTCACCCGCGGTCTATCCTCTTACATAGACCGAACGTGTTCTCATAGAGAGTATCCTACGGCGAGGGTCCAAATAGATAGCTGCGTTCCGGAATTGGTCTTAAGACCAGCGACTTTAAACAATGAACCTGTTTTCCTCGGATTGCCGTCGTCGTGGTGTTGATCTGATTCCCATCAGAAGCATTCGGCGAGGGATGACTGGAAATGAACTAAAGGAGTTTCTAACTCATTTGATAGTCAGACGCGGGTCTCTCCTGGTAAATGTTTAAGCCGAAGAGGCTCCGAGTTCATCCCGATGTCACTTTGTCCAACCGAGTGGTAATGGACTAGGACAATTTATTTGATCTAGTAGTCAGCTCACAGTGTGAGGAAACTTTCAAACGACTGTTGGACACCTACCTACTGAGTACGAACGGATCTTGTTATTTTCGCTGCAGTGGTGACTGTCCCCTATGAAGGACGTATGGCAATGTTCCGCATGATCCCTACTCTGAACGGGAAGCAAAGGAGCTGACAAGGGATTATCCCTTCTGCACTCTACCACTCCGGTGAACTCCAGTGAACAAGTAGACATTAATTATATGTGATCCTGCATAAGAGAAATGCAATACGATTAGAAAATAAAGGCTACAGTCGATCTAACTATCCGGAAGTTATGCTTAATTTACAGCAAATACCACAGCGATATGTCGACGTGCCCACTATTTACTAGCAATCCATGGGTTTAGCAGTACTCAGCTTGACAATATTTGCCTAATGTAGCTCCTCAGTTATCAGATACATGGTAAGCCTATGCCAAGAGCAATAGCTGATGCACGTATACACGATGAAGTCATACAGATAGTATGAGGGCTAGGAGAAGCAACATCAGGATCCAAGCAGCACTTGCTGATACAAACCGTATCTTCGGAAATTGTAGCGTGTGCACTACGAAACAAAATTAGATTTTTCAGCCGCAATCCTCATGCCATATTTCTAGTTTAGCTTGCAAGCATATACATTTTAGTTTGGTCCCGATGCCCGCTGATAATGCCTTACTAAATACGGTCATACTAATTCTAATGAAACCCGACACTTTCCAAATCCACACTCGATACAAACTGTACAAAGTTGCTTCAAACATCACTATATAACTCACCTTCTTTCTCCGCTGTGCCATGGAACATGAAAAATAAATTTGCACAGAATTACGATAAGTGATTGCCTAATAATTTAAATTAATATTTGTAATAAACACAACTTAATCCACTAAAGTATCGAGCAATTTTAATGAAAGGGATTATAGGAATGCGATATTTGTTGTGCATCCTGTCTCGTTCGATTCTTTATATAAACCCGCGTGTTTTATTGATCCTTTACGTACTATGAGTGCAAAGCAATTGGAAGAAAATACTTATTAAATATTTAATTGGAATTAATAAACAAACATACTTAATTCAACCAATTCATCATCCTCACTCCCACTCAGCAGGCTTAGGCTAGTCTGGTAAAGCACCAGATGCCGGCATTTCGAACTTCTGGGTCTCGTCGGTTGTGCGCCTCACAGCGGACCCCTGCCGAGTTCCGCCCCCATGACTCCAGGATGACAGCAACTATTGGCACTTCGCCATGGGTAACAGACGCGGAGCTGCGTGATTGACAGTTGACCATGCAATAGCCCGGCTCATCTTCCACTGCCACTCCAGTTACGAACTGTGCTGATGACGATAGATAGCCTCACGAGCTAGGACCTCTGCATAGCGCCTATGTACGACATAAAACTTAGAAGCTATACTGGCAGATTTTATATTACTGATGAGTAGTAGTGCGGATTGTTGTACAATTCAAGTAATTCATCCTCCTCACTCCCAAGCTGTCTGCATAGTTTCTAAGTTCTATGTCGTGCACAGGCGCTATGCGGAAAGTCCTAGCTCGTGAGGCTATCCAATGCACAGTTCGTAACTGGCATGGCAGTGGAAGATGAGGCGGGCTATATCATAGTCAACTGTCAATCACGCAGCTCCGTTGCTGTCACCCATGGCGAAGTGGCACTAGCTGCTGTCATCCTGAAGTCATGGGGGCGGAACTCGGCAGGGGTCCGCTGAGAGGCGCACCACTGACGAGACCCAGAAGGTCGAAATGCCGGAGTCTGGTGCCTTTGCAGACTAGCCTAAGCCTGCTGATTAGGAGTGACGATGATGAATTAGTTGAATTGCACCAAAATCCTCACTACTACTCATCAGAAACGGACTTACTTATTGAAACGCTTCATAGCCAAGGTTTATGTAGGTAAACATGAGGTGCGAATCAAACCACATGAAAAGTTATTGCTCACTTCAAGTAAACCCCACAAGTTCAGTACAAATTGGATTTAATTTTAACCGTATCATCATTCTGTTACGCGATATCCCACTGCCTTTGCAATAGCATTATTCACGTAGTGATCTTTAAGGTGCATTTTCGTGAGCTCCAAGTTCAGGGTACTGGCTCACGGGATATTGAAGGGACTCCATTAGTTTAGCCAATGCATGCATCACAAAATAGAGCAGAATACGCTGTATTAACTGCGCCTAACCAAACGACAAACTGTGCCTGTCGTTTTGGTACAAATAGGAATAATACAGATCCATAATGCATGACGTTAAGGAAATACTACAAATTACTCCTGATTGGCAGAGTCACTTTCATCGAAACCCTGTGACGGCGACAAGGCAACGCTGATATTTGGACTGCATGGTTCAGCCCTTTCATATACACAGGGGTAATAGTAAATACAAATTTTAACCCCTTTTTAAGGCGCGCCGTTACATTTTTCACATTTGCAGAAGCAAATTGCTCGGTTGCTCGGTTGCTAAACTTTTAACGTCTCATGCAAGTAAGATATCCGGCAAACGTTTTAGGCGCGAAGGGATGATCAAATTAGCATAAATGCCTCGTTAAGGCACTTTGTAATCCAGAACCAGAAAATCAGAGTAAGTATGCTGTGTGATTATCATCCTTCTTTGTATGCATGTCAGTCGGATTGGCAGGAACCTTCAAATTCGGCAGCTACTGTTTTTGTTTGAATAATATTTGACACTGCGGACTAGGGTTTCTTCTTTCCACATGAAAATATTTGTGATATTTTGTTGCTTGGGGCACAATAAAGGTCAGTCTTTCTAAATCTGTAAATCTCTTAAAGCCATTGCTTGATTTTGCTCAAAGTCAGCAACACCTTTAGACAAATTATGGAGTAACATTTCGCGTACAAACAAAAGTTTTGCGATCTCTGGCAATCTATCCAGTCGTTGCTCAGTTAATAAAGCGCTATGTTCACGTGCAATTTCAAGTAATGTTCACTCATTTTGAGAAAAGCACTGATGTATTTGCAGTTATGCAAAAGAGGGTAAATACAGGTTCACTTATCTTAGCAAATAATAGTTTCACATGTGTGTAGAAGAGGGTGTTATTCACGTAGATGGTCATTTTCCAATCAAAACCGTCCGCCCAGGAAATCCCGCGTTTGGTGGTGACGACGTTTTAATTCATATTAATCTAAATTAGTGCAGTTCAGCAACCGTAAGTTTTATATACAAAGTGATCTCTATAAGTTGCCAATACTTGAATACCAACGGGAGTAATTAAACGCATTTTAATCAGTCATCACTAGAAATGTCTACATAGATCCTGCCACGTCAAAGTTGAGATTTTTTGTGCACCACGTTCCGTCCTTTATCCTGCTGTAACTATGGTGTTCTATCTGCATTTTTACTGGCAAATTTATTAATAAGGTACAACATCACTATGAACTATGAACTTTATCTCTAGTAACGTTACCGACCAGACAGGATATTCAGTTAGACGCCGTTTACACAGGCAAAGTCTACGTTCTTCATGCAAAACAGACACCAGCAGCTTAAACTACGGCGCTTTACAACTATATCCATTCTAATATAATAAATCTAATTTTGTCACACTGACTAGATGTCCTTACAATGGTACCATTCAAGGAAACATTATTTGAATATAGCGCAAAGCTCCGGCTGATGCTTTCCTTAACTGATTATTTAATCTTCAAAGACGTACACCTGTCGGTTCAGTGTAATCATCTTACAGCCTACATTACATATTGCTTTCATATGTTTTGCTCTGTAGAAACCTCTTACCTAGTGGCAAAAATATTTACATCGTCACTGCTAAACCGCATTGGAATTATGAAAGAGAGAGATAAAGTTGTGTTACTCTTGTCAAGATCCGAACATCAGCAATTAAGTACGTGATAAAGAGACTAAACAGCTTATACATCGAATCGGTTCTAGGTAACCATAACGTTCGTGAACTATTGAGGTCAAAAGCTGGCCACGTGTTATGCCTTTCTTCGTCATGCTAGTATAAGGTATGCCTATAGCTCGTTCTGTATACCTAGAGGTGGCCGCTTTGAATCATAATTTCTAAGAGTTAAATATGAATATTTGATTAACTTCAACATATTATGTTTATTTAATGACTGGTGGGCAAGGTGGAAGAAGATCCGTAAGAATCAAAAAACTAAACAGCTAAGGTCTTAACCGAGAAAAAAGCGATTGTATTAAGTTAGCCTTATCACAAAAAATAATGTTTTATACCAAATTGGATAAAATTGTTGAGTTCATGAATAGTATAGTCGACAATGCGAAAATTGTGAGAAACCTATTCATAGTGTTTCAATTTCTATTTTGAAATATTGTAAATACAGGCGTTTGCATAAACACTGAGTGAACCTCCTCTCCGATCCAAGAGAACCAATGGCAATAATGTTTTTGACTGTTGCAAAGGATTCACCACCCGCTCAAAAGCCGTGCAGTGCAAGACAAGTAACTGTTGGCTGCATATTGCCTGTTGAAATATCGAAGCCATTTTGTATGGACTTCCTCAACCGGCCTACGCCTCGGTTGTATTTTCCATTTGTGACACGTGCCAAGTAGCTGGAATCGATAAAATCCTTGGGATCTGTTCAGCCCCTCTCAGCCCTCTGAAGCATGCAAGGAAAACAAAAGCTGATACCTTCCAGCCACTTACCGTATCCAGCTCGGCGACTTCAAATATACGTCAAAGTATAGAAATTTAACATTCAGTTGATAACTTCTGTTGTCAAACGGAGCCATGTCTTATATGTGTAGCTTTCGAAGCCGCCAGTGCCTGGTGGTAATAGCAATTATCCTAATCCCTTAAAGTATGTAGCAATTGTTATTGAGGACGCAAGTCCGGCGTCCGTTAAGTGAAGTACATTGGTTCATCAGAAAGACTGACGCGTAGCTAAGCACAAAACAAATACTACCCTTCCTCAATCCTAGTCCGAACAAGTTGTTGACAGAACACGCTGCTTACAAAAGACGATTACAGCCAATCAGCTTCCTAAGCCGCAAGTTCATGAGAAGAACATAAATCGGGATCCATGCTTGATCATTATAAGAGTCCCTGAATCTGATAAGGATACTGCAGCTGCTAGAATTTTGGACGACCAGGATTTTATTTGACGGATGGTCTCCAAGACTTTCGAGGAAGGCAAGATGGGTATCAATAATTTTTCTGCAGAAAGCAAGGAAGCTCCTAGAAAAATCGTCCCCTATAGATTATCTGCTAGAATGAAGATAAATACCGTCGTATAATCAAACGGACTTCACGTCTCCGGGGTTAATCAGTACATGTATTGATCGACCTCTCTCTAGAAGATTGGGTCTGCGTGAAAAGCACTGTTGAGGAGCTAGGGAGACATCGAGCAAACGGTGAAGTCAATAACAACATTGTTGATTTTCGCAAGGTAGCGAAACCACAGAGAATTCAATGGAAAGCAATCTTCGTCATTTCCAGGCAGCAGGACTAACGAATAGGCTACAAGTGATAACTGCAATGTATTAGCATAAGAAACAAGCTTGATGAAATCCATTCCTTTGCTTCAGAGAAACAACCGGATTTAATGGTCATCACAGAGACGTGGTTATCCTCGGACATTCTGGTCTCAGGTATTCAAATTCCGGAGTAAAGCTTCTCTCGAGTCAAGCATTCTGGAGTGGGGTCTAGGAGTGGTGTAATTCTATACTGGAAAGAGTTGCAGGGCTCATTCAGAGGAATCAGTCTTTGGCAACTATGCTGCTTCCGAGCTCTTGTGGTGTCGGATTCGTGACTGGTGGTCGTTATCATTTACAGAACACCGATCATGTCCGAAGCTTGCTTGTTGGGATCGAGGAAGAAGCACGGTAGAGGCACAGACTGTTTGATAATGGAAGACTTTACTGCTGCTAATATTTATTGGGATCTGCTTCAATGTAATCTTTTTCCAGATTCTTTCGATTCTCTTCTATGCGAAACTTTTGTTGGTTCTCATCTGCTCCAGCATGTTGCAGCACCCACTAGAATATATCCATATCAAGCTTCACACATCTTGTATATCGTACTCACACCTGTCTACTTAGATGTCTCCTACTTGACTGTCCCACAACCTATTGGCGAAAGTGTTCCTTGTGCAGTTTCGTTTCAGTGAACTCGCATTGTCATGAGCAAAATTCGTACCGTCGGAGCTTTCGGTGTGCGGACCCACAAAGTCCGAAAGTTTCTGCAAGTACTCTTGAGTGGAGCATTCCCGAGCATCTAGAGGTTGACGACGACTGATGCCTTATACACAAAAATGATGTCAAGATATGGTCAAGTAGTCCCTATCTGTAAAAGGAAACAGTTTTCCAAAGGCCCTCCTTAGACTGATCACGTGTTAAGGATTCGTAAGAAAATCGACGCAGATTATGGGATTGATCTAAGTCTAAAAACTTGACTTTAGATTACTCAAACCACAACGTTAGAAGACTTTGCACACTAACGAAACTCAAGAAACGACGACAGTACACACTATGTTTGGCGAAAAAACTCATGATCATCTCAAAGTACGTATCTCATATCGGAAAATGAGTACAAAAGATGTATATGGACGACCTGCACTTTAATCTACCAAGAATGATACCATACAAGGATGACGCAAAAGCTGTTCTCCTGGCTTTAAAGTATTCCTCCGTTTTTCCATTGAAGTTCCATTGTTCAGTGACTTCTTGTCACTAAACCCCTTTACATTAGGGCATATATGGATCAACGACAACTAGGTTATAAGAATATTTCTTGACTTAAATCCTAACTCTTCACCGAATACCGAAGAGTTGTATCCTTTATTCCTCAAGACGGTGACACAGGCAATTGCTTCTCCTATTTGCCTAGATTTGCGGCGCACTCTAGATGCTGGTCGCCGTCCAAAGGTTTGAAAACTGGGCACTGTGAGGCTCGCATGCAAGGGGGGATACCGTCAGGACATTGCAACTTATTGGCCGTTCAGTCTGACGAAGGTAATTTGTAGGGTCAGAGAAAAAAGTTTTTAAGCGGGTCCTAAATTTTTACCAGTATCAGCTACATATCCTCTCAAGCGCTCAGCATGGTTTTCCGAGGGCACGTTCCTGTATCTCTAACCTACTTGTTGCCAGAGACAAATGGACGATATGAATGGATACCGGTATTCGTGTTAATGTCGTTTTCGTCAAATAAGGCAGGGCATTCGACAAAGTTCCTCATGGACGTCTCCTTCTAAAAATCCGGGGAATTAGTGATTCTGGGAAGATTCTCTGCTGAACCGCTGACTTTTTGAATAACCAAAGCATGCAGCTTACACTGAATGGTGCCTTCTCCACTTCTGTTTTTATGGTCAGCGGAGTCTCACAGAGTTCATAAGTTGGTTCTGAGCACTTTATCGTCTTCATCAATGTTCTTCCATCAGAGCTCCAAGCTGATTGCCTCATATGTGCTGATGATTTGAAGCTGCAGCTAGAGGCGTCCAACCTGGAAGATGCTGCTGGCTATAGGCAACGCTTGATCGGTTGTACTGCTGGCCTATAAAGTGACAGCTACCCAGTAACCATGATACATTTCCTGTCCTCCTAATTGGTGCATCGGACTCCTTTAGTAGTTATCGCATTCTGGACTTCCTGCTCAGGAATGCACACTTAAAGAACAGCATTGGAATTTCGTCTCGCCAGACCAACGCACGACTCAGGAGATAATAAGTAAATATGCCGCTAATAAAAGGATGTTCTATTTTACGAGGAGATCTTCATCCCAGATGACTTCAGAAATATTCCGACTTCGTTCTAATTTTTACGTTCGACTAGTTGTTGCGTAAGGACCGCCAGTATCTTATCCTCTGATGAATATCAGATGCGTTTTGATAGAGAAGATTCAGCGGCGGGGATCGGAATCCATCATGAACACCGGCAAACGTCTTACTCTCATCAACTTCAAAGGATGAACTTTTCTCCTTGGAGCATCATCGTCGCCGTTGTGACTTGCTTTACACCCGTCCTATTCTACGAAGTGAGATGAGGAATGAGTTACAAGAGTTATTTCGCCTTTCCACGGATAGTTTGACACAAGGCCATTGTATGATGCCGCTTAAATATAAGCGGCTTTGAGTTCGCTCCGATACTACTTTGTCAACACATGTGGTGAATGACTGGAAAAGTTTACCTGAGTTAGTCGTCTGTCCGAAAACTGTGTATTGTTTCAAACGATTGCCAGACATATATTTGCTAGACAAGTATGGATCTTGTTGTTTTTACAGTGACCGTAGTAAATACTGGTGGAATAATTCGCTGCAACAAATCAAATAATCATTGAAGTGATCGGGAAATGATAAAATAGACAGAAGACTTCCTTCCTATCTGCAAAAAGATATGTGTGATACCATTTGCCTTAAACATGTGGTTTCATGAAAAATTCCTTCACTGCATCTATCACAGGAACCCTGCGGATACGCTAGGACGTACCAATATCTTACATTCAATTAGCTGTTACCATATTCTCTAGTTAATTATTCAGCATATTTCTGCATTATGATTAGTTAGCTTGTAAACTGGACAAACATTAAACGGTATTTGCCACCGAACAAACTTTTAGCACTTCGGGCGAGCAATGTATTCTCTTCCGTAGGTTATTTACGCGGCAACCTTTTATTCATAATCCAGTAAGTTCTTATGTGCAAATATTTTGATTTCTCTGTGAGGTGTCTTGCCACAATATAACAGATTGAATCTCCGTGACTGTATGTCTATGCAGTTCGTACTGGACAAAATAACTCTTTCTCATACAAACGGTCTTAAGTTGTAGTTGTAGTATCGAACGCTGTGACTACTTTGTTCATTAGAAATGCATGCAGAATAATTTAACCAACAGTAACATGAGGATTACTTTCCATCAGTGGTCGGTTCAAGCAATCATCATTCAGACGGCCCGCTTACCTTCTGAATAATAGAATGTAAATTCAGCAAGTGAATCTGGGTTGCCTGCAACGAACAACAGCGTCATTCGGTTGTGAGGAGAGAAGAATATGCGTCGAGTCCCAGTTGTCACCGAAGCAAATCGGGGACCCATGCAATCGAGGCCATCAATGAAGACCAAATAATCATACAGGCTTTTGAAGTAGGGTCGCATCTAGAAAATGGAACGCGTCGAAAACCTTAAAATTTTATCTGTTTAGCTATTTTTAGTAATTGGTATTGGAACACGATATACAAATTGAAAATTATTGCAGGTTTCCAGCTGCACATTAGTTTTACGGTCAGCGACACGTCACATGAGTTACACGTGCATGGATTGGTGCATTTTGTTATAACTTGACACCAATCCCTACTTGAGTCACCATTTCTAGTTGCGTATGATTTCATTCCTTTTAAATATACCAGTTTTAGGCAATACACTGTCGCTTGTTAATTTCTGAGTGTCTTCTCTGATCATTGGATTTAAGTGTGGCTTCAATGTCACTTCAGCTCTTCTTCTGAGTGACACATCTCTCTCATTATCTCGTGGCTCGTTGATTTCGATGTCCATTTAGCTGCACAAGCATGTGACGTATGCTTCTGTTGTTTGCTTAAACAGCTTGTTGTTTTGTAAGTAGCACGGGATTCGTTTGGTATTTTTTGAAGATTCGTTCCAGTTCGACTCAAACAGACAGCGATCACATCCAATAAAGTGATAAACAGCAGTTTCGTCTTATTGGGACTCTTCAGTAGCGCGTACCGGCCGAATTTTACCGGATCCGAACCCATATCTTACTCCTGCGAGTGAGCGACTTATGACGCTGAGCTATGGGCAATAGCAGCAAACCGCCATGACTGATCCCTAACTGAGAAATAGCGCGGCTCATCTTTCACTGGCATGCATGTTGTGAGCGAGCACGTTACAGGGCTGGCTCGCAGAGCTACGACATCCTTCGCCAGATGCTGCCAATCGAGGTGGCATATAAGATGCTAAGCTTCAGATGAAAATAACTTTAGTTTGTACGTTACTAACTGCCTGTGGATCGTGCTATAAACAAGAAAGCATTATGATGGTAATATATTAAAATAAATAAAAGTAAATCAACGTACACATCAAGCCTAAGAAACGATGCCACTACTGGCGTCAGTAGTGAGAAAGGCTGAATGCAGGCTAATAAATGTATCAGATTTGCTTCAGAAAATGCTCTGCAGCTCTACAATGATCTCAACGCATAGCAGTACAGTTTACATGAAAGCTATGGATCAATGAATTGTTCTACAAGATTAAAACGTAAAAAGTCGAATGATTCCACTTTTTGCCAGCCGTCTGCGTGTTTATACTAAATCACCTTCGAAACACGTAGACAAATTTGTCGGACATGTTTGGTTGAGATTAAGTCATTTCGGGGTTCAGCGCCCAACAACACAACTGACATCACTGGAAAAAACACGGTTTATGCAGAAACAGTACTGGAATGATATAGCAAGATCGGCTACAGCACAATAGCAGAAACGCGCCGTCCATTAAGAATTAGTTATATCGACCGCTAGTAACGTTGATTCTTACCTTGCAGTGATTATACCACGTTTGATTAATGACAATACAGTGTATTCACAAATATCTGCACAATACAACCGGTCGTGCTAACCATATTCTCCTAGATAACATTTTCTTATGAAAGTAGATTAGGTAGAAAATGTCAAAAATCATCTCAATTCCGTAAAAGCACCGGCATCGGACAATATTAGCAGTCAACTCAAGTTATTTCGTTAAATTGAGTGTTAAATTGAGTGTAAAATGATGATCAGATCTTTCGTACATGCAGTAAGACCTAAAAAGCTGCCCGCATAAACATTCCGAACAGAAGATATGAAACGGAGTAATACTAGTGCGATCAATATGAAATAATTACTGCTTACATGCTCTCAGCAAGTCTCAAATCAATTATCAGTTTGCTATAGTCAATTTGGTTAGAGATGAATTAAAACAGCTTCACAAATGAAATAGCACTTTTACTTAGATTCATATGTCTTGCTCCATATATATATATATATATATATATATATATATATATATATATATAAGTTACGTTTGACCACCGGTGCCTTCGTAATTTAGCTCACATCTCGTGGGAACACCACGTGAGCAACGAGCGTCTTCGACGCCTTGTTTGTGGTACAGGAAAATGAACTGAACCGCTCAGCACCGTTATTTCACGCGTCAGGCTCCGATGGCTCGGCCACGTGTTATGCATGTCAGCCCACCGACTCCCGAGACGTGTGTTGTTTGCGCGCCGGGGGTGTGGATGGAAGAAGAGGAGGGGTGGCCAAGGAGGGGTGGTCCTAACTTGGGAGCTAGCCTCGGTTGTAGCGTCTCGGCTCCCCGGTTTGGGTCAGAAAGTCGATGAACACATTTGGTTGGACACACTTGATGATATGGCTAGGAGCCGACCTCAGTGGCGTTCCTGCTGTGAGTTTCTTTGTCCCACCCCATTCATCTTAGCCTCTCCCTCCAACCACGATCTAATTATTTAGCCTCATATAATTTGCATAGTAATTTTTTGGGTGCACAGCAGCCGGCTGGTAGACAACCGGAACGATGCCCATCAGTTACCGGTACATAAGCCAGCTTGCACCAGTCGCATTTTTCTCTCCTTTTTTCTATGCATTGCGGCACAGTAGCTGAGATGTTCCCCACCTCTAGCTAACGGGTATGATATATATATATATATATATATATATATGATTGGCGTCATCCGGGTTCGGATTTGCCTGTCACTGTGGTCAGCCACAGGAAGCCTGCGCCTACGGAGGGACCATGGGCGGCTTACGCTGCACCATCCACAGCTCTAACCACACACCCCATATCCAGAGTAAACCCGAAGGAATAAGACCGGGATGTATGTGGATGGGAACCAAGTTTCATCAACGGAGCCGGCACACACTCCTTCACAGGCAAACACAAGCACGCTGTATTTGGGGAAACAAGCGCACTCAAGTCCGTGGATGGATCTTTGTCCACTCCTCACTGTGTGCATGGAACCACTCTTCGGGCCTAGCACAGTCACAAGGACCGCGCACTCCGTCTCCTCCAGCAACGACCAACTGTCTCCTGGAGCCAGTATGGACGAGGTAGTGGGTAATTGACAGATAGGCACCTTGTCAACATGCACATCAAGTGCAGCCACACCGGGGATATCAAGCAACAGCCAATCACTTGAAAAGGCAAGATGAAATAAAATTAATCCAATGCTGCATACAGATACGGTGGCATAACTCTTCGCTAAATTACCATATGAAGTAAGTTGGTTGGTAACGAATCCGCGATAAGTTAAACTGCTCACAAGTTAATTAGAACTGCTACAAAGGCAAAAAAATTACCGAAGATCAACGCAATTATCGTAAGCAATGTGGCCAATTAGTAGAAGATTATTCAGGTAGGCAGAACAAACCAAATACCGTGGAATGAAATTTATCCAGCTTAAAAAGACCTAGTTTAAGTGTAATTTGGTTTGTCCTAACTGCGGTAAAGAAGCATCAAGAATGCAACATCAGCCTCAGCATGGGGCATATAAATATAAATATATATATATTATGTATATATATACCAACCCAGCGCAACTGTCTCAGGACGATCAGTAATACTTCCTTGACCAAAAACTGGCGCTTGTTTCAGTTACCTGTGCACCATTCTAACCAACAAGTATTGGATTGAGTTTAAAAATAGATGTATCAATGGCGTAAATATAAAAGTAACTATTTAAAATCATCAATTAAAAGCACTGTAATGGTAACTTACTTTCATTTCAGTGAAATATATATTAACGAGCTTATCCTCCGGAACGGATATCGAATATCCGCAAAATATGTTCTTTTCATGACCAAACCGTTCAATTTTGCCCCCCGTTCCATTTTCGTCAACCTGGAAGCATTGATCTACTGTACCTTTAAGAATCGAAAAAATTCTTATTGTGTATAAAGTAATCTGTGAATAAAATTGTAGCACCAGTAGCAAAATTATATGGAAACTTCCTACATACAGTGTACTGACACTAATGCGAAGGTAAGTTATCACACCTGCTACGTTGATTGCCCAGCAGATACCGAAGAGTACTCCCCACATGAGAACCAGTTCACCACAAGCAAACAACACAGCTTCGGTAATACTTGGTTGAAGTACTTTAGAGTTAATACTGGTACAACTATCATCCAATCATTAGAGAGCATCGTGTCACTGAAAATCCGTAAGGATTTGTTTGTTTTCGTCCTATCTTCTAGCATACTTTTAGGTGCGGTCGCTCAATAAGCAGCAGGCTGTATATGGGTTGACATACACGTTCCGCTCAAGAACACTGAAGTCATCAACCAAGAGTAGGCAAAGAAATGTTTGTCAGAAAACTCTAGAAATTCGCGCTAGTCAAACAAGAAACCTGCCTTTTCATGTGATACTCTTTGCTCAAAGAATAAAATTCTTTTGTGTGCGATCTTTCTTCATTTGCGCTTAATCGCCTAGTATGTCAAATTTGTTACCTTATTTTTCTAGTGAATGTCTAACCTACGGTAAACTTATTTTAACGTCAAACACGAAAATGTCATGCTGCTGGTGGGTTATCAATTATCATGACAATCGAACTAAAACTAGTTGAAAGTATATTATGAACTATTCAAGAGAGATGCAGATCAGGGTGAGAAAACGTAGTTAGAAAAGCATAATATCTGCAAACAATGTATCCATATGTGAATCAAGTGGTAGAAGCTTAAATATATATTGATAAAAAGAGAGATGGTCAAAATGCTAATGCATCTAGAAGCTTGTGCTTTTCCGAGGTGAAAAGTTACTGGAATAGCGTCGTGGAACTACGAAAGTGAAACATAATCCAGATTATCTGTGCAGCCCACAGTGCCTTAAATGGAAATACTTTATTTAACAGCAGAAGTATTAAAAGCTTCGCATATTTGCTTGTATTATGGTTCTTATCCCTAGAATAAGCACAGTCGTACGGCGGCTTAAGTTACTACATGACTCCTATTCAGTTAATCGGTATTGTTTAATAGTATACATTTATCGTTTCATCATCCATTACACAAATGGTCGAACACCATGAGTTGTTCGGTTCCAGATTCGAATCACGACAGATCTATATCCGTATTCTTTCCTAAAAGCTTTTCAGTATATCGATCCAACAACTTTGGCCGTGGTATTATGAATTGTTGCTGACATGTGAAAATTTTAACAAAACTAGTTCCTCTACTCAACCTTCCATAAAAAATTCATGACTGTGTTAACAAGCTAAGCGTTTACAGATACCATATCAAACATCAACATGAAAATTTGCAACCTGAAAACAAAGAAACAGGAGTATAATACACTTGAAAAAGGCTTGCTCTGTCCGTGGGATTGTTGTATTAGTTATATTAGCCTAAAAATGTGAGGTAAACTAAACTGTTCACTTGCAGATTCATCAACTTTCTGCTGCAATTTCATAATGGCTTGCTAACACAGTTTTGTCCGCGTCTTTCCGTCACTCAAATCTCGCAATACAAATGGCGTAATGTCTCTCCAGGTCGTTTTGTTTTAGTAGGTGAAGTGGGTGCAAGGACGATGGAAGTCGTAAGTGCATCGTACGTCAGACATATATATATATATGTGAGCTGTGCCATTTGGGGCCACTACAGAAGCGACGACGGGTGCTGCAGAGAATTACGACGAGCCGGCGCAGCGTTTGTAGGCACGCTGAATTCGATTTACTAACCGCGTGCTTGCATGCTAAGTCTCTTTATTTCAGGTGGTGGGTTTACAGTTTTTACCTTAATACTTTTCTTTCTCATATAAATATCTCCCTGTACTCTATTCCATTAACTTGCACACATCGCTTCAGCCAATTATATTCGATTTCCATAACATTTTTGTGTTCGTGGCATTCCGTGCGCTATACTTCCTGACCTCGTGCACTTAGCTAGGATTTGTTTGTAATCAACTTAATACGTATGCTATTTAATTAAGGTTTATGTCACCGTTTCCTTATGCATTAACCGAGTATTTCTCTTTTTCTTTCTCTCTCTCTCTCAAGTGATTGGCTGTTGTTTGAAATCCCCGGTGTGGCTGCGCTTGATATGCATGTTGACAAGGTGCCTACCTGTCTATTACCCACTACCTCGTCCATACTGGCTCCAGGAGACAGTTGGTCGTTGCTGGAGGGGACGGGGTGCACGGTCCTTGTGGCCGTGTTAGGCTCGAAGAGTGGTTCCATGCAGTCAGTGTGGAGCGGACTACAGTCCAGCCACCGCCTTGTGTGCGCTTGATTCCCAAATACAGTGTGCTTGTGTTTGCCTGTGAAGGAGTGTGGGCCGGCTCCGTTGATGAAACGTGGTTCCCATCCGCATGCTGAGGCTGATGTTGCATTCTTGATGCTTCTTCACCGCAGTTGGGCAGTCATCATCATATCGAGTAAATCACAGGGCATCATTTGCAATTCCCGAACGACTACCATCCAAAAAACGGAAGTAATGATTCACCGCTTCCACAAGTTATGAACCTGGTATTCATCTACGCAGCTCTGAATGATTCGTATAATGGCCTAGCTATCAAAACACCTGCCACGTACAGCACTTCTGGGTAAACGTCATCAACTCCATGGAACTACTGGTGCATGACGAGTCGTCGACGAACTGTACGTGAGGTTTTACATAGTTCTGTCTGGTGGGATTATACTGATATGCGATACATGCATGTGGCGCGTAGGAATAACAAAGTGTGTTGTAGCTGTACAACCTTGGCTGCGTCCTCGGCAGTCTGAACACATCCGTTTGCAAAGGATAGTGGGGAACACCACGCCTCGCTTCCCGGTAGTTATTCACATTTCTGTGCAAAAGACTGGTATTAGGACACAACTTTTCCCCAATTACTGGTAGTTTTCTAATCTTTATACACAGGCAAACATGGTACAGTGATTAGGCTGCATCACATATTTGTTTCAGGTGTCAGGATCAGCAATAGCTCCGAATGTGCCGTATATGGTTGGCAGCAACCGGTTTCGGATTTGCCAATCACTGTGGCAAGCCACAGGATGCCTGCGCCTACGGAGGGACCATGGATGGCTTACGCTGCACCACCCACAGCTCCAAATAAAAACACCCCATATCCAGAGTAAACCCGAAGGAATAAGACCGGGCTGTATGTGGATGGGAACCACGTTTCATCAACGGAGCCGGCACACACTCCTTCACAGGCAAACACAAGCACGCTGTATTTGGGGAAACAAGCGCACTCAAGTCCGTGGATGGATCTTTGTCCACTCCTCACTGTGTGCATGGAACCACTCTTCGAGCCTAGCACGGTCACGAGGACCGCGCACTCCGTCTCCTCCAGCAACGACTAACTGTCTCCTGGAGCCAGTATGGACGAGGTAGTGGGTAATTGACAGATAGGCACCTTGTCAACATGCACATCAAGCGCAGCCACACAGGGGATATCAAACAACAGCCAATCACTTGAGTGAGAGAGAGAAAAAAAAATAACTCGATTTATGCATACGGAAACGGTGATATAAATCTTAATGAAATAGCATATGTAATAAGTTGCTTGCAAACAAATCCTAGCTAAGTGCACGAGGTCAGAAAGTATAGTTCACGGAAAGCCACGAACACAAAAATGTAACGGAAATCGAATACAATTGGCTTAAGCGAGGTGTGCAAGTTAATGGAATAGAGAACAGGTAGACATTTATATGAGAAAGAAAAGCATTAAGGCAAAATTGAAAACCCACCACCTGAAATAAATAGACTTAGCATGCAAGCACGCGGTTAGTAAAAAGACTGCAGCGTATCTACAGACGCTGCGCCGGTTTTGAATACTTCTCTGCAGGACCCGCCGTCACTTCTGTAGTGGTCCCGAGTGGCCTCGCTCATGGCTCACTAGACACTAGACATTTATAAGAGAAAGAAAGGCATTAGGACAAAATTGAAAACCCAACACCTGAAATAAAGAGACTTAGCATGCAAGCACGCGGCTAGTAAATCGGATGCAGCGTACCTACAAACGCTGCGCCGGTTCTGCCTATGTTCTCTGCAGAACCCATCGTCGCTTCGGTAGTGGTCCCGAGTGGCCTCGCTCATGGCTCACTAGGCCTTCCTGACTCAAGCATTCGCGACCGCATGTGCTACAGCACCATACGATCGATGTCGATGGAGTACAATTCATCGGTGCTTGCCGCTTCCGTACTTGCCGCTTCGTCTCTGCATGCATGAGGGCTTTCTCCCGCACTCCAGCAACTGCCTTCGTGATTAGATCGCGCCATGCACGCCGATCAACCGCCTTCGATTCCCATGATCACTAATCTAGGTTAGAACATGTGAGGCTCACTTTGATCGTGTCCTGGTAACGTAACTTTGGTTTCCCCACATGCCGCTTCCCAATACTCAGCTGACCGTATAAGAGTTGTTTCGGTATCCGCGTCGAATCCATACGGCTCACATGATCGATCCACCTCAGGTGTCACAATAAAAGTATGCAGTCCACTGCATACATCCCACTTCGGCGCAACACTTCCGTGTCTGCAAATCTGGTGCCCAAACCGATCCGCAAAATTCATCGCAGACACTGCTGATGGAACCGCTCGAGATATCGCACATCCCGCCGGTACATCGTCCACGTTTCACTGCCGTATAGAAGAACGGACAGTACCATGGATTTGTACACCATCAGCTTCGTGCCAACGGTAAGCTGATGGTTCTTCCACACTCGGTACTCAAGCTTCCCGAATGCTGCCGCTGCCTTAGACACGCGAAAACGCAGCTCAATGTGTAGCTGCTGGTCAGTCGACATCACACTCCCAAGGTAGCTGAAACGGGAGGAGGTTTCCAATACTTCAGCACCATTGCTGATTCGCGGCAATATTGAAGATTGCACCTCTGGTGAAGGCTGAAAGATACAGACAGTTTT